TTTTTTTTTAAAGAATGAGCCAATATTGGCTTAGTGCTCACTAGGGGACCTGCAGATGGAAGCTCACCTCTAAGGATAGGGCTGGGCAGATGGATTGATTTTTTCCCCACCTGTGAATATGTAAAACAAAACCATTATCTCTGAGGGACTTTTTAATATCAATGGCAGAACAGAGATTTGTGTGCTCAACTTAAGAGCTGGAGTCATATAAGCATCTTGGGAAAGCAAGTTTCAACCAGCTACTGGTGTCATGTACAGTTGTATTTGTCTATAAATGGAGCTGTTTGTGACAATTTAATACCATTCTCTTTGTAAAGTGAATAAATATTCATCTTTCAGAAAAAGAAGTGACGTTGTGAAGAACTGTTTTTCAAAGATAAGATAAGTAACAGAGTATTAATATGATAATAAAATGATGCAGTAAAAAGTGAAAAACTGATCAGATGGAATATTTGCTGAATGGCTGTCCTTGATAGACAAGAGGAGTGAGGATCCATATGTATGTGGACTAACTGGCTCAGCTAACATGGAGAGTTTATCTACTACGGGAATAAGCAGGAAGCTGGAGTGAGTGGGAAGAGATGCTAGCAGGTGGGTAAGGCAAGGGTGGATGTCTAGGGAACTTCTAAGTACTTTCAGGTTTCTTCAGTGAAACAAGAAAAGCATCAGCAGAGTGAAGATAGAGAGGAACAATTGAAAATTTAAGAAGAATGTAGACAGAGTGGGTCTTTTGGCCGGGCACAGTGGCTCACACCTGTAATCCCAGCACTTTGGGAGGCCAAGGCAGGTGAATCACTTGAGCTCAGGAGTTCAAGACCAGCCTGGCCAACATGGTGAAACCCCACCTCTACTAAAAATACAAAAATGAACCAGGCGCAGGCATGTAATCCCAACTACTCGAGAGTGTAGCGTGATTACCAGGTACCACTGTCAAGGTCCAATTTGTGGTTCAAAGTTGTGAATGTAAAATAAGACCAATCAGCAGAGTGTTATGTGTTAATATGAGAATACTTATTTTTAAAAACTTAGGCACTCTCGATGATTCATATGGGAAAAAGGAAAAGCTAGAGAAAAACGAGGTACCTAAACATATTTCATGAACAAATGATATACAACAGACTTGACAAATAAGATAACTCCTTATAGTATAGAATCTATGAAAGCTACAATTTTTAACAAGCTTGTTGAAATGTTTTTCACAGAATCTAGTAATTTTTAGACATTGAAAATGATGGATTTCTGATACGTGCCCAGGATTTAAATTAGTTTTTAATTTAAATAAATTTTTTAAATTTATTTTGTTTAATGAGACGGGGTTGTTCTATGTTGCCCAGCTGGTCGTGAATTCCTGGACTCAAGCAATCCTCCTGCCTTGGCCTCCCAAAGTGCTGGAATTTACAGACATGAGCTACCATACCCAGCCACTGGATATAAATTCTAAAACCAGGTTACCAAAAAGATTATACCTCAATTATATTCCACTTTGACAAAAATGTTAATGTTAGTAAATATATTTAATATTTAGTATATTAGACATGTGAACTTTTAGAAACAGAAATTTTTTGTCTACATGTCAGCACCATGGATTAATGACAAAACCAACTGCATTTGGCTTTACTTTCACATCAAGAAATTTCTTAATCTTGAACACCAGTCTCACACATTAACGTGATAAAAGAAATCTTTACAAATGGGAAATCGGTAAAGGAAGGTGTCATGCAGTTGTCATTGACAATGGAACAAACAAGGTTCTGAGTGGCTTAAGAATCACAGCCATATGTTTAGTTCACATCGTTTGGTTATGTGTGCTCAGGAAGTAATTATAGCAGAGGGTAAAGTAACAGAATTGTCGCCTGTGGCAGCAAGATTGGGGTCACATTCATCATTCTTCTGCAGCGAAAGACAACAACATGACATGTAAGAGGTTATAGAGCTGCCTGATCATGTACTCATATAACATGGTCAAACAATGAGGAAGAGTAGTTACTGAAGAAAGAAAAAGAAAAAACAGTTACTTGTTCAAAAGAAAGCCTTAGCATTATACTTTGCAGAGATGAATACCTACAGCACAGAATTCACTCACAAGCAGTCCCTTGCAGAGAAAGGGGTTTGTTGGCTGGAGAGTCCCATGAGAGGGTAAGTATTGCCTGATGATGCCTGCCATGGGGAGCTTCAAGTCATGCCGCTCCACCAAAGGTGCTGGCATTGGTGTGTGTGCAGTGATAACTGAGATGCAGATGGAAATTCGGAGCTTTTGCTAACCTGAAAGCCGGTTACATTGCTCCACTGGTACTTTTCCAAACCCAAGACTTAAGGATACATTTTGTCCACATAATTATATACATCATGTGCATACTTTTTTTTTCCTTTTAAACAAGGTCTTGCTCTGTCTTCCAGGCGGGAATGCAGTGTCACGATCATACCTCCTGGGTTCACTGCCTATAATCACCTCCCAGATTCAAGTGATCCTCCTGCCTCAGCCTCCCAAGTAGCTAGGACTACAGCCATGCCACCACATGCGGCTAATTTTTTAATTGTTAGTAGCGGCTGGGCATAGTGGCTCACACTTCTAATTCCAGCACTTTGGAAAGCTAAGCCAGGCAGATTACTTGAGTCCAGGAGTTTGAGGTCAGCCTGGGCAACATGGCAAAACCTCATTTCTACTAAAAATACAAAAAATTATCCAGGTGTGGTGGTGCGCACCTGTAGTCCCCTCTACTCAGGAGGCTAAGATAGGAGGATCACTTGAGCCAAGGGGGTCAAGGCTACAGTGAGCTGTGATCACACCACTGCACTCAGCCTGGGCAACAGAGTGAGACTTGGTCTCAAAAAATAATATAATAACTTTTAGTACAGGTGGGATCTCACCATGTTGCCCAAGCTTAAATTTTTTAAAACCAAAAACATGAGCACAACAATATTCAGTATTTTTCTGTAATCAGGCAAAAAAAGCTTAAATTTGTGGAACTGCCTCAGTGAAATTTCACAACTACCAATCTTTAAAGGCAGAATACGAAGAGTAGATAAGTCTTTAGTTGGCTACAATTCAGAGGTGAGGACATCCAACAACTTGGTGGCAAGATGACTAGATGGCAACAAACATTATATCCCCTCACTGCCCTTAGCTGAAACAAGCATCTCCTTAGTAGGCAAAGGTACAGTCTGAAGAATCTGCAAAGGTACAAGCAGACCAGCAGCTAAGATCTAGGTAGGAGGTATTGTGCCTGGGCCATAATGTCAAACTTCTAAAATGTTACTACAAAAACTTTAATATGAAATTACAGTAATAATTATGCTTATTGATCTTATTTTGATCAACTGGATTTACCTTGGTATTAAAATGTGTATATATATATTTTTGAGACAGAGTCTGGCTCTGTCGCCCAGCCTGGAGTGCAGTGGCACGATCTCGGCTCACTGCAACTTCCTTCTCCCAGGTTCAAGCGATTCTCCTGCCTCAGTCTCCTGAGTAGTTGGGATTACAGGCACCCACCACCACACCCAGCTAATTTTTTGTATTTTTAGTAGAGACAGGTTTTTGCCATGTTGGTCAGGCTGATCTCAAACTCCTGACCTCAAGTGATCCACCCACCTGGGCCTTCCAAAGTGCTGGGATTACAGGCTTGAGCCACTACACCTGGCCATTAAAATTTATTCTTTGATGGTTACATTTCTCTTCAGCCTCAGTTCCACTGAATATTAATTTCAATAGTCAACTTTTTACATTTGGCCAGAATGTAGGTGGTGCTCTTCTACTTTGTAGGTGAATAAACCATGTGTGCATTGCATAAATACAAAATGAGAAGAAAACTGGCCAAAATGTTGACCAATTAACTGGGTGCCAGTAAATTCTTTTCTTCTTTGTACATATTTTTTCTGTTTCTTCAAATATATCTATAGCTAGATCTAAATACAGATGAGTAGGTTGGTAGGCAGGTAGATATATTTAAGAAGATAAACAAATTCTCTTTTTGCAAAAATAACAGTTATATAACAGATATCTTTTAAATGCAGATTTTAAGAACTCTGCTATTACATTTTATTACAAATGAGCCTGTTGAAATTGTTTTGAACATTATGATAGACAGCCTGGGCAACATAGTGAGACACCATCTCTACAAAAATGTTTTAAAATTAAAATTAGCCAGGTGTGGGGACATGTGCCTAAAGTCCTGGCTACTTGCCAGGCTGAAGCAGGAGGATTAGTTGAGCCCAAGGGTTCAAGGCTGCAGTCAGCCATGATTGTGCCGCTGCACTCCAGGCTGGGAAACACAGTGAGACCCCATCTCTTAAGAATAAAATAAAATAAAATATTATAACACTGCACAAATTCTGACTTTTGGAGTTCACGCTGGGGTTCTACAATGATTTTAAATCACCCAGATCTTGGCTTTTGCATCATTATGTTTGCAATGGGGATCAGAGATCGAGTATTCATTCAGTTAATTAACAACCTAACTATTGCAAATAGGGGAGGAGAAAATTTACATCTACTACCTTATTGCAAAGACAGGTTTAGGCCATTTGGCAATTGTAGTTTAAGAGAAAATAATGAGGCCGGGCGCGGTGGCTCAAGCCTGTAATCCCAGCACTTTGGGAGGCTGAGACCGGCGGATCACGAGGTCAGGAGATCGAGACCATCCTGGCTAACACGATGAAACCCCGTCTCTACTAAAAATACAAAAACTAGCCGGGCCAGGTGGCGGGCGCCTGTAGTCCCAGCTACTTGGGAGGCTGAGGCAGAAGAATGGCATGAACCCGGGAGGCAGAGCTTGCAGTGAGCCAAGATCGAGCCACTGCACTCCAGCCTGGGCGACAGAGCGAGACTCCGTCTCAAAAAAAAAAAAAGAGAAAATAATGAGAACTGAAATGCTGAGTATGAAAGTGAGATCAGTTAGAACATCACTCAACCTAAGTTTCCCAAGTAACTGATTCCAACCAGGAACTTTTCTGTGAAAAAACTGGGTTTTTGTTTTGTTTTGTTTTGTTTTGTTTTCTACAAATGTCTAAGGTAGGAAAATAAGGCTTCCCAGCACATGGCAGTCTTAAAAATGATCCTCAAGATCTGATCTTTGCCTTCAGCCTTGGCTGAGGAAGAAAGGGATCCCCTACACACACCACCCACCCACTGTGGGAGAGAGGACCTGAAAATTTATTTTTAAAACAAAAAAAATACACAACTCTATAATATATGGAAAAATAATAATTCTACCTACATCATGGAAATGTCTAAAAAATAAAAATGAATTAAACATGTTAAAGTATAAAAGAAAAGAGAGAAAAGAAAAAACAAAACATAAGAAAAGTAAAGATAAAGGAAAAAAGAAGAAATATGTATTTGGTCTTAGGGTAGAAAATAATCTTTTTAAGCAGGACAAAACAAGCCCACTAAAGTAGTAAGGGAAATAAAGAAACAGTAAATTTTCCTTGCATGACATACAAGGATGTGTGTTGCAGAAATATTTATAATAGCAAAAAATACGATACTACAAACTAAACATCCACCACTAAACAAATTATGATACAGTCATAGAATGGAATACTATGTACCCATTAAAAAGAATGAAATATATCTGAATGTCCTGGCATCGAAAGTGCTGCAAAATAGATTGTTTGATTAAAAAAGAAGTTACAAAAAATAAGTATAGTAATAATTTTGTTTTAATAAAAAATGCACAGAGGTGTGTATGTATAAATGAGTCTATATGTAATAAGAATACTATTTTGAAAACAGTAAATGTAGGCCTTATTTCCTCTATAAATCATATTCCCCTACAGTCCTATCATCTTACAGCTACAGGGAAAGGAGTTGATATGCTGCATTCACATGGGGAATGATATGACCTGACCATACAAAACGGGGAAAAACTAGAGAAAGCCCTTCATCTTCCAGAGATGGAGCAAAGATTTGACTAATAAAGGCCAGTCCATTATCAGACTGCATAGAGGTGGGAAGGCCAAACTGAGGAGTTATGTCTGACAAAAGGGAAGAAATGACCGCGGTGGCCTTTTCAGACCCTGTGGGAAAAGCTTCTACCCATCCAGTGAAAGTGTCTACCCAGATATGTTTCCGGACACGAGGCATGTAAGTAAAGTGCAGAAGAGCCAGAGGTTCCCACCCGCTCAGGGGAGCAGGACATGCTGCAAGGACTTAAGAAATGGCAGGGACTTTGAGACAGAAAGCAGCAGCCACAGGACCAGAGACTATGGTGGAGTCCGAGCTCAGCAACAGCAGATGCTAACACATACCAAAGACCAGGTGGGACTAGTTCTATCGCTGATGGTTTAGTGAGAACATAGGTTGACACACACAGGGAAAAGCAAAGGACACCTCAGCTGGAGACAAGCAAGAACTCAGAGGACAGCAGGTGTATCATGCCTCCATCACCTCCCAATCCCCAGATACACTTCTCCCATCACATGAGACAAGTCGGCTTTCCTCCACACCCAGATGCCTCTTGGAGAGGAGCCAGGAGTGGAGCAAAATCTTACAAGTCTGAGTTAACCTGAAATGGGCGTAACCGGAAGAAACTGAGCCAACATACATTGTCAAACAGATGTTCCAACCACAGCCTCCATTGCTACCCATGCATAGAAGCTATACATTTTTGGCATAATATGAATTACAGACTATTACATTTACACCAAATTACAGTAGAAATTTGAAACTCATTTTGAAGATTCAATGAACATGACTTAGTGGTAGTCTGGATATTAAAGTGTTAGAGAAAGGAAGAAGTCATTTATGGCCCACAGATATCTAGTTTGCATGCTGAACAGGAGATAATACCATTAACCAAGATCTAAACATAGAATAGAGAACACTTGACGTAGGAATAATAGGAAAAAAAGTTAACCAATCTAATTTTGAATCCGTTGAATTTAAGGGTCTTTGGCATATCCTGGTAAATGTTTCAGGAGGCAGCTGGAAATTCTGATTCAGAAAAAGGTTTTGAAAGTCCATCATCAGGAACAGGTAGAATTATTGTGCTTCTGTAGTCAACCCTCCATAAATTTTTTTGTTTTTTGAGACAGAGTCTGGCTCTGTTGCCCAGAATGGAATACAGTGGCAAACCCGGCTTACTGTAGCCTCAAACTCTTGGGCTCAAGCCATTCTTCCACCTCAGTCTCCCAAGTACCTGGGACTACAAACACACACCACCACACCTGGCTAATTTATTTTATTTTATTTTTTTTACAGAGATAGGGCCTCACTTTTTTGCCCAGGCTGGTCTTGAACTCCTGGACTCAAGGGATCCTCCTGCTTCACCTTCCCAAAGTGCTGGGATTACAGACTTGAGGTACCATGCCCAGCCCAACTCTCTGTAATTAAGCTCTAACTGGGTGGTAATCTCATCCCAATTACAAACTCCAAGAAGTTAAAAAATAAATAAATAAATAAATAAATAAATAAATAAATAAATGTCTTATAGATCTTCAATTCCCATTAGATTGTGCTGAGTATAGGCTAAGGCCCTGTGGATACCCAAGATTGAGCTGTTAAACACTTGCTTTCTTGGTAGGTGGTAAACAGTGAGTACAGGTGGTATTTTCAGAATAAGAAGGATCTCAGGTTGGCAGAGATAGTTGCTCCTTTTATGTGCCTTCCCTTAAGATGGTGAGGTACTTGTGCTGTGGAAAACAATACCTGTAGATCTTGGAAGATGTGCAGACATGAATCAAAGTCTCCCTTGAAATCAGAGGTCTTAAGTTATAGCCTAACACCCCCCACCAAATGAGTCATTCACAGCTCTTTATGCTTCAGTTTCTTCCACTCACACAAGTAAATAGAAGCAAAATGCTTCTAGTTTGTCTTAGTCAATATATTGTGAACATGTTAAAGGCACAATCTATAAATATCCTGGAGATTCATCTTAACCCACTCCACAATAGAGTGAAAGGCTACTAAGTGTAGGGTCTATCTTGAATCATTGTTTATTTAAACACTTCAGAAAGCAATAGACAGAAGAAAAGCTCACAGAGTAGGTTCAGAAATAAAACATAAATGGGCTCAAAGCAATACACTCACACACTCCTTTTAATTTGGTTACACAGAACTCTTTGCCTTTCTCCCAAAACTCTTACTCCCAAACATATGCTGTTTCCTCTGCCTGAAAGACCACCAGATATCTTTTTTCTCTGGAAAACTCCAACTCATTCTTCAAGACCCAGCTCAAAGTTCCTCCCTCCTACGCAGGAGTGGTGACCTGTGACACAGTGCTTCAATACAGGGGTTTTTTACATTCCATTGCCACCTATTTATATTTGTTTCAACCAGGCATGGGGACTCACATCTGTAATCCCAGTACTTTGGGAAGCCGATGCGGGTGAATTGCTTGAGCTTAGGAGTTCAAAACCAGCCTGGCCAACATGGCAAAACCCGTTCTCTTAAAAAAAAAAAAAAGTATACACACACACACACACGCACACACAAAATTGGCCAGGAACAGTGATACATGCCTTTAGTCCTAGCTACTTAGGAAACTGAAGTGGGAGGATGGCTTGAGCCAGGGAGGCAGAGGTTGCAGCGAGCCAAGATTGTGCCACTGCATTCTAGCCTGGGCAATAGGGTAAGGCCCTGTCCCAAAAAAGTAAAAAAATTTTCCCTACTAGACTTTGAATTGAAGGCTAGAGCTATAGGGGAGGGAGACCATTAGGACAAATACCTAATGCACGCAGGGCTTAAAACCTAGATGATGGTGGCCGGGCGCGGTGGCTCATGCCTGTAATCCCAGCACTTTGGGAGGCCGAGATGGGCAGATCATGAGATCAGAAGATCGAGACCATCTTGGCCAACATGGTGAAACCTCATCTCTACTAAAAATGTAAAAAATTAGCCAGGCGTGGTGGCGCGCGTCTGTAGTCCCAGCTACTCGGGAGACTGAGGCAGGAGGATCACTTGAACCTGGGAGGCAGAGGTTTCAGTGAGTTTAGAGTGCCACTGCACTCCAGCCTGGTGACGGAGCAAGACTCTGTCTCAAAAAAAAAAAAAAAAAAAAAAACCACCCAGATGACAGGTTGATAGGTGGTGCACCAAACCACCATAGCACATGTGTATCTATGTAACAAATCTGCACGTTCTGCACATGTATCCTGGAACTTAAAGTAAAATAAAATAACAAAAATTATAGGCCAGGCGCAGTGGCTCACAGGTGTAATCCCAGCACTTTGGGAGGCCGAGGCAGGCGGATCACCTGAGGTCAGGAGTTCAAGACCAGCCTGGCCAACAGTAGAAACCCCATCTCTACTAAAAATACAAAAAAATTAGCTGGGCGTGATGGCAGGCACCTGTAATCCCAGTTACTTGGGAGGCTGAGGCACAAGAATCACTTGAACCCAGGAGGCGGAGGTTGCAGTGAGCCGAGACCATGCCATTACACTCCAGCTTGGGCAACAAGAATGAAACTCCGTCTCAAGAAATAAATAAATAAATTAATTAATTAATTAATTAAAAGACTAGAATGATATAATTCGTTATTTTTTAAACCCAGAACCTAAGTACACATGAACTAAGGTAACTTAGGTTCTGGGTTAAGTTCACATGTACTAAGTAAAAAAATTACTACACATTGTTAGCAGAAGATGCTCAGTAATTTGAATTATGCCTCTGCTCCTCTGTTTCAGGTCTGTAGTCTGATGCCTTGAAATCAACTTACACAGAAAGGAAAGAGTGAATTCAGGTATTATACAACTTATTGACTGTAACCAATCTCTCTCTCTCCCTGGAAAATATAAAACACTGCAATAAATACCATATGTAAATGTTTGGCACATTTAATTATAATACTAAAGTTTCTAGAGAAGCATCTCTATTATTCCTTCATTCATTTTCTGGGTATTCAAAGACAATAAAAGGTGGAAGGTATTTTTGGCTTTATCTGATGACATTGTCATAATGCATTTTGACATTTTTAAATGCATTTGAAGCTGATGAAATGGAAATTTTGGATTTTGGCAGTAGAGAAGGAACTTGAATTTCAGCCAGTGGATTCCCAAGATAAATAATAGTGATTTATATTGAAAATGTAACTGAATACAGGTCAGCAGCTAGCAGCTCAAAAGCCAAACTTGAGAGACAAGGGTTGGTGGGAAGAAACGTAGGTT